CTCACAAAGATCTGCCTGCCTCTGCCTCCCAAGTGCTGGGATTAAGGCGTGTACCACCACACCCGGCAAAAATAAAATATTTTTTAAATCCTTAATAAATAATTGAATTATAAAGTTTCAAAGAATTTATTTTAAAAATTGGAAACTTGTGTAAATTTCCATAATTAATCAATGCTCATTGTGAGACCAAAATGCAGACCTATGACTTTAAAGCCTCTGTTCTTTTTTTTAAAATTTTTTAATTTAATGGGAAGCATCCTTTTTTTTTTCTTTTTCTTTTTTTTTTTTTTGAGACAGGGTCTCCCTGTAGCCCCAGCTGACTTGGAAGTCACTATGTTGACTAGGCTGGCCTTGAACTCATAGAAATCCACCTGCCTCTGCCTCCCGAGTGCTGGGACTAAAGGTGTAAAGCCTCTGTTCTTAATGACTTTGCTGTTTTAGGATCCATTCCCTTCAGGCACCTGAGGAGCAGATGTTTAGTTCTTCCTCTTCACTCTGCCCAGCCTGGTTTTGTTTTGTTTTGTTTTTTGTTTGTTTGTTTGTTTGTTCTGGCCTGTTTGAGGCAAAGTGTTTTAAAGAAAAGTAGTCAGAGGATCTTTGAGACTGAGACCATTTGTCCCATCTTCCACTTGAATCCCAATATTCTTTTGTGGTAAAGAATCACTTAAGCCTATAGCACCTTTGGGACAATTTAAAATAGGTACTTGGTGTTGGACGTAGTGGCACATGCCTTTAATCTCAGCACTCAGAAGGCAGAGGCAGGTGGATCTCTGTGAGTTCAATGCCAGCCTGGTCTACATAGTGAGTTCCTGGCCAGGTGGGGCTATAGGGAGACTCTGTCTCAAAAAGACCAAAAAAAAAAATAGTTACTTTCTGAAACTATCCCAGGAGTTGGGTAGCCCTAGGATGGAGCATTTCCATCAATTGCATATTACTTTCAGGTGCTCAAAACTTTTATTCTGTCATTTTAGGAAGGTAAATTCGAGTTCCATTTCATAGACACAAAGGTTGACATGCAGAGCTGATAGGTGTTGGGACTGGAGAACTGGTTTAGCTGATAAAAGTGCTTGCTGTGCACACACAAGGAGTTCAAATCCCCTGCACTCATCTATAAAGCCAAGCATGACTGTACACATACCACAGGGGGACAGAGACAGGAGAATCACTAGGGCTTTCTGGCCACCAACATGGCTTCAGGTTCAGTGAGAGACCATGTCTCAAAGAAATAAGGTAGAGTATGATAGAGCAGTATACCTGACGTCATCCTTTGGCCTCTACACACACTCACAGGGGCATGTTCTCCCCTACACACATGCATACCCCACCCCACACATGTTATCTGAAGTCCTATAGCAAGAGTGGTGGAGATCCCACTTCAGTTATCCTATCAGAGCCTTTCCAGGATCCAGCTTCCTGGCTACTGAGGGTCATAGTAGGGGATAAAGATTCCTTAGAAAACGTATATTGTAGGTTGTTTTCTTGTTTTGAAACTACCTTGGGCTAAAGTTGTGGGTATGGTCGTAGGAAGCTCACAAACCCAATAGCTGATAAAAGAAAGTGAGCTTGTACTTGGGGAATATGCTATTTATGCTTATGTTTATTTGGAGGTTGTGGTGGTTGTTTTGTTTTTGAGATAGGATCTCACTATGTAGCCCTAGATAGCCTGGAACTTGGCGTGTAGATCAGTCTGGACTTGAAGTCACAGAGATCTGCCTGCTTCTGCCTCTGTCTCTGCATCTAGAGTGCCAGAATTAAAGGCATGTGTCTCCATGCCTGGCTGAAATAGGCTATTTATTTAACCTGATCGTTTGAGAAGGGATCTCAGCTACACCTGGTAGCACAAGACTATAATCCTAGTTCCTTAGGAGACTGAGGCAGGAGATTGCAAATCTAAGGCCTACCTGAGCTATGGAGCTACAGAGAAAGGATCTCAGCCCATGAAGGGTCACTGGAGTTAACAGAAAGCCGGAGATACAGAGGCTGCATGCTATAATGCCTTTAGGCACAGGGAGGCTTGGAAATTTCTCTCTGTCTGAGTGCTGTCTTTGTTATGTCCCAGGCAAGTGGTGAAGCTAAATAAGAGACGCTCCTAAAATATTCAACTACAAAAAAAAAAAAAAAGACTGGGCAATTGCTCTTAAGTCTTAAATGGGTTAAGGTTCAGACCTGAGCTGAGAATGCTCTCTTCCTTTGGAAGTAAAAGAGAAGTAAGTGCTGGCAGGAGTGAGCAGAGGCTGCATGAACTGGCAGGCCACTCCCTGCCTAAGCATCACTGTATCCTCTGCTCTGCCCTGGCAGGAAGAGAATATCCTGGTGAAGGAGGCCTCCTCTGAGGCTGAGGCTCTTGGCATGCAGTCAGAAGGTAGAGCCATCTCTTCTATGCTGTACCTGTTTTCAGCAACTGGCTTTAATGTAGTGTTCATCTTTTGGCACCTGACTCCCCTCAGGGAAGACCTAAGTTGTTGAGTTATAGGCATTGCTGAGGCTGCCCAGATTTGAGAACATAGAAAAGTATATATTATTCTATTTTTCCTGGTCCCTTGGGCCTGGCACCATTTTGGAGGAATTTTGCCTTTTTTCTGGGCTTGAGCCTTTTACTTCTGATCCAAAACCTTGGCTGTAGATATTCTAGCTACAAATGGCAGCCCACGTCATGAGAGGACTGGGTTACTTTGTGGCTGACTACTGTTGCTGTGTACCAGTCCTCTTGCTTACAGAACTAACAAATGGAAATGGGAAACAGGCTATACTAGGGTTTGTAGGAACCAGAAGGCAAAATGGTCTGTGGAGCTGGGTGTCTAGAGGGAAGAAAGGGGAGGTAACCTTAGCTGTCTCTTCCCTTGAAACCCACACTCAGAGCCTTTCCCATCAGGACACAGCCTTCTCAATGTTCTCCAGCTTTTTTGTCACCTCAGGAATTTGTGACAGGCAAGAGTGTTTGCTAACAAGTCTGTCCCACTACATATTTGGACTGGCAAGGGAAATAATAGTCCAGAGGCATCTTCTGGCTCCTGACCCTGGCTTACACCATTCCTTTCCTGCCTTCTATCAGAGCTAAGTCCCTCATCATTCACCTGCCCCACCTCCTCACTAAGCAGAGATCTTTTCCTACAAGTCACATCTTCACTCAGGTTGCCAGAGTAAGCAACCATTCTCTTCTTCTGGTTCTTCCTTTCTGCCCATCTCACCTCTGCTAACTTGGTGCAATGCCTCTCCCCTCCACCTGCCCCCATCCTTGGTTTGTTTGATTCATGATTTTACAAAAGGAAGTCACATCAAGTTTAGTCCCTTCCTTGGATGCCAAACCACAGGCATCTAAGGTCCCCAGAGTCAGTGGAAGTTGAATTCTTACCCCACAGACAGTCAGGCCAGGTGTGATGGTACACACCTATAAGCCCAAGCACTCAGAAAACTATGACAGAGAGTCAAATGTTCTAGGCCAGGCTGGGCTACTTAGTAAGTTCCCTGGGCTATGTAACAAGACCTGTCTCAAACAAGTCAGAAGCATTGTTGAAGAGAGATACCCTGCCCCCATCAGAATAACAACTTATTCTTTGAAGTGTCCACTGTGCCCCAAGACTTGGATTCCCAAAGGTTTGCTCCAGGCAAGAGATAGGAAGGCTGAGTTGGCACTAAGAGATGAAAACAAGTGGCAGATGGCACTGAGGAACATCCCGGGACTGAAGAAATTTTTCTAGTTTCCAGAAAAGGGGAAGCAGTGAGACACTGGCAAAGCCTTACTCAGACCTGTAACAGACTGGCCAGAGAAGACTTCCACACAGGGCTGATGGTACACTGGTTGTGACACTGGTTGTGACACTGTCTCAACCTCTCATACTCTTACCATACCCAGAGTATACTGCTTTGGTGACCAGACTGGGCTGGTCAGGAAAGGCAGGGAATGGAAGAGATTAGAAAGTGATCTCAGAAGCTGGGCATGGTAGTACATTTCTATAATATCAGCCCTTGGGAAACAGAGGCCAGCCTTAGCTACATGAGCCCCTATCTCAAAAAGACCAAAAAAAAAAAAGGTCTCAGAAACACAAACATCCTTGCCAGAGACTGAGAGTTTGCCTGGTCCTTGACTTCCCCCAGGTACTAGAGGTGGTGCGAGCCAACTATGACACACTCACACTGAAGCTTCAGGATGGCCTGGACCAGTATGAGCGGTACTCCGAGCAGCACAAGGAAGCTGCCTTCTTCAAAGAGCTGGTAAGTGTCCCACCCCCACCTCTGCTTGTGTCTCTTGGGGGCGTCCATTACTGGCCACTGGCATCTACTGTACAGGTAAGCATCTAGGGTCCAACTGCAGTGTGTCAAAGGCTGATAAAACTACAGGGGGTCTTCTGGGATCTGGTATGTAACATCTCTCCCAAAGCAGTTGGGACAAAGCGGTGAGCAGCAGATATTCCCAAGCCAGCATTGCCCACCTCTTTGGCCACAGGACAGCCCTAGCACAGCTACAGCTGGGCCTGGGGTCTGACATGTATTCTCAGTGGCAGCTCTGACTGGCAACTCCTTTTCCTGCCCTTGGGAAACTAATAAGAGTAATTGATTCTTTTCCTCCTATGTAGTCACTCCTTCCTCACTCACAGTTGGTTCCTGATCTGAGTCCTAGTATATACCCAGTCTTCACTGCCTATGCCCACTCTCATTTTCCAGTCACTCAGTCTTCCCCCCACTGCCTCCCCTTGGCCACCCAGAATAGTAAATATTTGCTCTGCCTCCTACCCTGTCAGCATGGCCACAGAACTGGCCTCTTTTGACTGTCCCTTTCCTTCTCTGCACCCAAAACTGCTCCAGGAAAAGCTCAGTTGTAACTACTCTGCCTGCTTGTACCCTGACTTGGGACTGAGATGGGGACACACAGTCTCTGAACCTACTTCCCATGTCCTTAGACTTCCCTTGGTTGGTCCAGAACGTCAATCAGCTGATTGACGTTATGTGCACCAAATCTGTGGCAAAGGTGCTAGATTTCAGATCATCTGTTTTGTGCTTAAATGCAGCCCAACTCTGACCCTACCAAGACATTCCTTAGAATTTTCCTGAGTCAGGTAGTTGGGAACAAGAAAGCCTCTCTTTAAAGAGAGGAACAGGTAAAGTGTTTGGGAAGGTTAATGAATCTTTCCAGAAATGTGGAGGATTTCCACATTCCACTGGGAACCAGCAATGAACAGACAAATAAAAGGAATATATCATTGGGTTATGGAAAGGGTTGTGAAGAATTAGAGGAGATATTCTCTCTCTCTCTCTCTCTCTCTCTCTCTCTCTCTCTCTCCCTCCCCCCCCCCCCACCTC